TATATATATATATATATATATATATATATATATATATATATATATATATATATGTATAGTTACGAAAGTATATAAACTTATCGCGAAGATTATACACTCTCATTACACACACGTACACGCACACATATACATACACTGTTGAGAGATCATCATTTGATCGACCCGACTCGAGACACATCTCTCATATCACAATCTTCGTTTTCCCTAGTTCAATGTCATTCTCACAAAGTAGCGCGCGAAGGTCGCGTCTAATGAAGAAAAAAATAACTAGGAAATTTTACGCACGTCGAGAGAGACGTAACGAGGCGACGTTACACGACCCACGACGGCATAGAACATTCGCTACAAAATAATTAAGAGAGAAAGAGAGTGAGTGAGCGAGAAAGAGAGATATAGAGAAGGTTGTACAAAAATTGTATGTAATGTTATTTTATCGGAAGTGAGAATCTTAGTGTTAGGCTGTTAATATGGTATATTATTTTGGGTAAGCGTATGTAAAAAGAAAAAAAAACAGATAAGACAAAAGACGAAGTCGCGCGCTCGGACGAGATCGTTGTTGTTGAGGTAGAAATAGCACATTAGCAGCTCGGGGATTATAAAGGAAATTAAGTAAACTAATATAGAGAGACAGAGGTTGGGAGAAAAAGAGGAGAGTAAGAGAAAACTATTGAGTACCTTGTTGAGTATAAGTAGTCGTATTGCTAAGTCGTAAGTGCACGTGGGTGCGCGTGTGCTCTCATCCATACACATTCACATATACATATTCACGACTCGCTCACACACATATACATACACACGGAAAATATCGGACACACAACAAAAAACGAGAGAAACGACACGATATACAATCACACGTACACATTATATAATGTCAAAATTACATGCCTACACGCGCGAATAGAGAGGTTTCGCAAAGAAAGAGAAAGAGAGAGAGCGAGAGAGAGAAAGAGAGTGAGTGAGAGAGAGAGAGAGAGAAAGAACGCGCGTTTGCGTCTCACTTTCGATGTTAAGTCTTTACGAGCATCTCAATTCCGGCGAATTATTAGATCGAGAATAGCGTTATCTTCCATGATAATATATAATCGAGAAATAAGAGAGAGAGAGTGAAAGAGAAAGAAAGAGAGCAGCTGGCTGCGAAGGTACCATAGAGAGATTTATTCGTCGCACCGATGATAAATCACGATCAAGTATTGTACCTTACATTCCTTCGGCTATAAAGTAATTTAAGGAATACATACACAAAAATACACACACACACATATACATACACGTATATCATGCGTTTTATCCAGTTTCTAGCGAATTATGCTGCGTACGATCGATTAGACGAAAGATTCATCGTTATTATTTTATGCTAGGATTGTTGTGTACACGTTATTAGATGTTCGGTTTTTCCTTGCCGACATACATATGCACGCAAAAATACATCACATTCACATACATATACACACACACACACACACATACATACGAAAACGCGAACGGTGCATTACGAGCAATGAGGCAAAATTGCGTATTTTTTAATATTCTGAGATGTCTCGTCTCCGTGTGAGAAAGAGAGAGAGAGAGAGAGTGAGAGTGAGAGTGATAAAAAGAAAAGGGAAGAGAGAGGAAAAAAGGGTATTGCGATTCAACTTCGTATTAGACGGAGAGAGCTAAGATTATCGATATTTACGCTAAGTTAGTAGTAAAAAGAAAAAAAGTAGTCGTTACTCTTCAGAAGTACGGATACACTTTTAGACGAGTAAGGAACCGAGAAACCAGGGAAAAATATTGTAATCGGCTGTCGTCGAGATAATAATCGAAGCGACGCGATTGCATCCGTGGTATCGTCGATTTCGTCTCATTAAACCGATCGTTACATCAGAAATATTGCATCGCGAATTAATAAATAAATATATATATATATTTTTTTTTATTAGGAAATATCATTAAAAAATGTTCAGTTACGTCATCATGTGTAAAGAATGGCGAAATTCCGAAACGTCAGAGCAAATTTGCCGAAATCGCTTTCGAAACGCGAAACGCCTCGTCGCCCTCGTGAGAATTCCTCGTCTTCGTGTCTGTGTTAGGAAATATACGGTGAAGCATCTCTCTCTTTCCATTCAACGAGAGATGTCAATTGTACATACAATCGTCTATCGTAACACACGAATCGTGTCTTACATCGCACAATCTCCGTTCAAATATAATCTATCAGGCTGTCTAGTCTCGTCTTCGTTTTCTGCCCGAAGTTTCTATGTCGAGGATCTTCGGGCTGTCGCTCAACGTGAAAATCGTCACGATTGATTTTGAAAGCGACCGGATATCCAGTCGCAGATCCGAAATCGCGAATCACTTGCTCTATTCGTATCGGATAATTGGCTCGTTCGCCACGATCGACGACACCACGGATGTCCGCGTGAGAGAAATATCTCGTAGAGATATGTTCGCCGTTTCTTAAAGCGGAAATCCTTGTAAGGAATTTATGATGACGAGGAAACGAGACAATTTGTCAGTAACATAGATGGAAAGAAACGCGACGTCGAGGTACGCATATTCATACGCAGGCTCGTAAGGCTTATGGAGAGAAACAAAAAAAATTCTCTATTTATTGATTAACGCAGAGCGTTACACAACACTTGGTTTTACTTTCGCTCGTCGATGAAGTTAACAAGTAATACCTACATCCCGACGTGACCTCTTTGGGCACACCGCTATATCTCTCTGGTTTTTTTTTTTCATTTTTTTCCCCGTCACCGAGATGAGGTATAATTTAGTTCACGGCATCTCTTTTTCCCGCGCGAAGAGCTAATCTTTACGATATATTACTTTACACTCTAACCACATTTATTTGCATCCATAAATTGTTATTCTTTCATCATCAATTTATTCCATTCAATGTTAAATAATTATATAAAAGTTTAAACAAACAAAAAAAAAAGAGAGAGGAGAGAGAAAAATGAGAAAACATAATATATTAACTATTTTCACTCATGAGAAAGCATCGTTACCTGTATGACAAGTGACCATAATAAGAGCATAATAAACAATCGCTCATTAAATGCATTCTGTTGTTCTTCATTTCATGACCTGGCCACCGTCCATACATCCATCCATCCATTTGTCCATTCAGTGTCGCAAGTATGATCATCATACGCCATCGTCTGTCATTTGCCAGTCTCTCGTACCCGTTGAATCTCTCGTGTCTGAATCTGTGAACACAGTATCCGCGATTTTCTTCATCAAGAAACAAAAATAATCCGAAAAAGTTGTCGGAACGCAATTGTAATTTTTGTGGAAATTGGGAAGGTGTGACGCGCGCGCGCGATTGGAAGACGACGATGGCAAAGGGAAGACCGTGAGAGGAAAACCTTCCAAATTTCGACAAAAAGTCACGACGAAGGTGCAGCAATGGGCACGACTGGAAAATCGTAACATTTATGAGGGAGAATAAAAAGTCACGACACTCGTATAAATCTCCCTAATTACCTCCTAGTGATCATCAACGGCGGTCCGACCGATCCTCTGTCTCTCTCGTTTTTTTATCTTACGATAAAAAAAGCGAGAAACGGAAAATCGATTGAACCACAAGCAACCACCCTTTTTTTAATCGCAGTTAATTAATCGACTAACTAAACTAATCTTCGATAGGTATATCCCTCGTTATTCCGGCATCTTCGTTGAAGCGAAAGACACGATGGTTCCTCGCGGCACTTCTATGCGTTCTCCGGAGATTGTATTGTCGATGCTCACAACCGTGCCGTTTGCAAAACAGGTCAATTTTTGTAAGCTACACGTATGCGGTTTCGGAGGCAGATCTCGCGTGCCAGATTGCTCGGTATCAGTATTTCGCGCGGCAAAGTCGAGTACAAACGCGGTTATCATTGCGCCACCGATCCTCCCGGCGAAAAGTCGACGATATTATTAATCACGGCAGGCATATCACATCGCGTTCCGCGTATCACGGCACTTATATTAATCTCGACTTCTTACGGACACAAACATTTATATATAAATATATATTCCTTGTATATATATGTACATGTACCTTATTAGGGATAGCGCGTCGTAATTACGATTTCATCACGTCTTCTCTTCTTGTCTTTTTTCCCTTCTTGTTATTTTTGTTTTTTATTCTTTAATTTTTACATTCCTCCGAGTGTATAATCTCGAGCGTACGGCGAGATGCCACTCCAACTAGTCAGTAAACGAAGAATTGTATTTTTTACGCGACGAATTATTTGTAATAAAAGAAAGAATTATATTGATAAAGATGAAACAGCGAAGAGAGAGAGAGAGAGAGAGAAAGTATGAGAGCGAGAGAGAAAGAGAGAGAGAGAAAGAAAGCGTCAAGTAGACACGTTCTATTTTGGATGAATTTATCATTGAGCTTTTGATAAAAGAAAACGAAATGTAATGTACTGCAGAAGTAACAAATAAAAAGCTATTTTTGTACGAATAATTGGAGTAGCCTCGACAGTTTATTCCGTACTTCTGCGCTTATACATATAACATACCCGATCGATTCATGGCAAAATCGCGAATGCGTATTCACATCCACTAGCCTCGCGAATTAATTGATCGCATAGTGCACCGCTTCGAAAGGACTTGAAAGTGAGACAGGAAAACAAAGCGCTCGGTGAAATCATGGTAAGTCCAACAACATTTATGTTTGTGATCGCTTCTATCGACCTTTTCTTTAAACAGACTTTCCTTCTATACCAATTGAGATCTCCACGAGGCTCTTCGCCAGAAATCATCACTCTTCGTCCTCGATAAGATTAGCTATCTAATTAGAAATGCATGTCTATAAAATTATCTCGTTCAACGCGACGAACGAGATATCGTGCCGAGAAGAAGCAAAGCGTTGGAACGTTCGAATGAATTTCCTAGATTTCAAAATAATTCAGCGAAGAGAGACATGAAGTTCGCGAAGGGAAAACTCGTGAATCTCGTGCACGATAAAACTGCGTACATCCGGATAATACGCACAAAGAGAAGAGAAATGTTCACAATAATCGTGAGCATTTGTATTTTGCAGATCTCGTTACAGTGGGGATTCGCTGGCAATAAAAAAGTATACCACTACAGACGAAACGCAGTTTTATTCGGGTGACAATAAGTGTATGTGTGTGCACGCGTAAGTGTGTATGTGTGTGGATGTGAATGCACATCGCTTGGCTGAATGCACCTCCCGTGCTGTTTGTTTGATCTTTCATCGCGCAACTACAAAGTAATATACATACACTATGACACAGATTCCTTTTATTCCCTAAAAGCGATGCGAAAATGCAATGACCGTTTTCGCTCGCAAAATATTTATGCGCCCCATATTGTTCCGAACTGACATGTGTGCGTGTATGTCACTATTATTATTATTTTATCGTTATTATTATTATTGTACACTCTTATTTGCTCATACCTAACGACCTCAGGCATTCTCTTACAAACATTACGCCTTTGCAAAAATCTACCTTCCCAGATAGCCAAACCTATGCAAAGAGATTTTGAGCAGAGCCCTGCAAGTTTTTCATGGCAGGAACGCAACAAATTCAACACATTTATTATATCTGATTATGTTCCCAGTGAGAAATGACTTACCGATAGACGTCGAAAAAACGTCAAATCGACGTCGAAATCGTCAAATCGACGTCTTTTCGACGTCTATGATAAGTCATTTCTCATTGAGTTGCCAAACTGCCGCCAGAAATGCGACAGAGCCTACTGATAGGCAATCCGAACAGATTGACGGTAGAAGCCGAGCAGAACCTGTAACGATCTGACGGAAAATTGGCAGCTGAAATTGAGCAGATCCTGCTATGCGACAAGATCTGCGCGATTTCGGCCGCCAATCTGTTCGCATTGCCTGTCAGCAAACTCCGACGACAAAATACTGAATGCGGATATAGATGACTGTGATTTCAGGATTCTGATTAAATTTGCTGCTGATCTGCGCGCACTCTGCTACCAATTTGCTTACTAGGTTTAGGACCATCGCGGCGGAAGAGAAAATTACACTTATTGCCATTACCTCGTTGGACTATACAGCTGCACTACTAACTGCATATGCAATCAGTTCATGAAAGCGACGTCAAAAGGCGAGCTTACATTCGGATCATATCGAACGACTGCATCAGGACACATCGAGGAAATGCGTAAGTGGCATGAAAAAGGTGAAAATGGAGCCGACTCGTGTGATAAACGTAGATAAACGTTCATTTTCACTCTCTTTCGCGAAATATGAGTGACGCTCACATATACAAGATTTTCGCACGAAAGCTACACAAGAATAGACACTTTCGGGAACGCAACCATACGGAATATTAAGGGCGACGATTTCCTCATTTTGACTATCTCCCGCCGAAAAATGTGATTAGAAATTTATTCACTAATATTCGCGGTTTGATTACAATTAGGAGCCATACAATAGAAATACTTAGTGTCCCTTATTTAAGTTTGCAATAAAAATTCTCACTCGAAGGACGATTAACATAGCTTTTAGGTTACAAGCAACCAGAAGCAATGATAAAACAAAGGCAAACTAAGCTTCAGGAATGAATACGAACGACGAAGATTCGTTCTTCGTTTAATTCGGCAAATCGATTCTACCTCAACGGTATTGTGACTCAAATATTAGTTATGTAGATGTCTGATATCAAACATCCAAAAATTACTATAAATATTAAAGCACTTCTATGAGGACTTTTTAAATATAAATTAGAAACCTGCCTGCAATATTTTACACGCTAATTGTCCCGTACTATAAGAACTACCGCTAACTACGATAACACAGCTCGTTCTCGACGAAATCAACTTTCCGCTTTCACAATCGATCATTTCGTCGTTTCTCCTTTTTTACACATTCCTGTATGCGAAAATACGGAACGGAGACTCGACGTAGGGACCGCGAGATCCTGCATGTCAGTCCTGAAGCATTCGCTTAATTGGCGAATACTTGAAACTCCTCTGTTCTGTTTCACAATAATAAGCGCGAACGAAATACAAAATGGCGGAGATGCTACTTCGCTCGCACTTCTCTCCATAAATCAAATCGCATATGTGTACGCGGTCATACAAAACGGAAGCGGATACGCACAAATGCAGTTTCGATTTGACCACACGCCTGTCTTGATGTAAGTGGAGCGGAGTTTTATAGGGGAAGTATGGTTCGTACAAAGATTATATACATTATTATCTAATCACTCAATTGATTAATATACGTCTGTCTATGCCTTTGTGTGTGTATGTATGTGTATGCATGTGTATGTGATGTGTATGAGTGTATGTATACGCGGAATATGTGTTTTTGCTTGTCCCTGGTACTACATGTAGGACGTAGATTTTAAGTATGTATTGCGATGAATCTATATATATATATTTATATATATATATATATATATATATATTTACTCCTCTTTTTTAATCTTTCGTTAGAAAGCGCACAAAGAAGTGTATTACCTTCGTTATTACGATACTATATCTCCTATAGAAAAATAATTGCGAAGGCTGGAGGCTACATGGAAGAAGTATTCGTCGAAGTCTCAGTATAAGAAGGCAGTTACAACGTGCGCGATACATGGAGAAAATCATCGGTGTTGTATCGACGTGGGATTCCGACGCGAATGTGACGTGACGTGTTTCGTGAGTGCCGGAAGAGGAAGGACAACGCGACAATAAGGAAGAATGCCAATGAAGTCCGATTATGTCAGTGTTCAATCGATCGTGTTTTTCGGTATCATATACCGGAGTCTCGAACTTGTAATGAGAAAAAACGGCACGCCTATTACGTACGTTAACGTACAAATTCTTCAGAGTACACAAAGGCGACTATGCAATAATACAGCTTTACAATGAGCGATTCTATAAAAAAGATTCGTGAAAAATATCGGCATCTCTGTTTCATTGTCGTGCTCTCGGAACCGGAGAGAGAGAGATAGGTTCTGTTATGTTGCGAGAGCGTATAATTGTGTACTTTGATTCTGTTGGCGTCCACGGCGGCGTCTCCGTGCATCGTTTGATTTGCACGACCATACATACGCGATTGTACTATGTGTAATAAACGGCATTTCAATGGCACACTTTTCGATCCTCGCGGTCGCAAGCGCGCGAGATCGCCGACGACCGCGGTTCTTTAATTGTGCAACGTAATTCATGTTGACGGACAAATCAACGTTGCGATTATCTGGCACAGTAACCATTTTCGTGACTCGCGCGTCGCTCACGGGCGATTTTGTATGTTCACGCGATTCCCGTTGAGAAAAATACAATATCCGGAATGTCAAAGGAAATATGCGATTTGTACTCTCATCTTGTGACATCTCGGGAGATACATTGTGCGGAGCGCATTTCCCTTATTACACGTTTCCCTTCGAATTGTGGATCGCTTCACGTTTCGAATTTGTCTGCTGCGTGTGTACTTCATATCACGTAAGTACGAATCACTATCCTACGTTTACCAGCGACGAACTCGGGGCATTTACTATGATTCAATAGCAACTTCTTTTTCTTACGCTATGTCAGCGCGAAAAAAGTCAAATAAAAAATTTATAAGTATATAAAAAGTAAACTTTTGATTTCAACAGAGAACCTATTTAGAATAGGTCGATATATCTTACAAAATATCGTGTAAAAATATCGCGTGAAGAATTAATTTCGATTGATGATAGAAACCTGTAGAAAACGTAACAAAGAACTTAAAAGTAGGCCCAATATTTCTCTTACTCGTTTATGCGCGAGTATAGAAATGGCGTCAGAGTATCTTCGCTCTGTGAAGCGGCACTTATCGTTTGATGTAACGTAACATAAGATCGAGAGGCCGCTAACCATTTCGGTATCGAAACGCAGTTCATAAGTGACAAAAGGTGCTATTTTACCGATCCAATGATATCCTCGAACCGAAGTATCGTTATCGAAGGAAATCAATCTAGAAGGCCGATCGCATACGAATTAAATCAACTTTCCGCGCACACGCTGTCGCAATGTAATCAATCTTTACGATAAACTGCGTGTACATTTACGGGTCATTCTTCACTATATCTAACGCTAAATGCGTTAGTATAAGAGTTTTACATTTTTATACTTTTGCGTTTAAAAAAAATGTCGAAGGAGAAAATCGAATGGTTCGGCGCTAAATGCAAAGCAAGTAAAAGTCTCAATCGTGAAGTCTATATTAAGAGATGTGGCAGCATCTCGACGCCTAGTACATAAAAATCAACGGCCAGCCGAATGCGATTACTGTATAGACGTCGAGTACTACCAAGATGCCAAGGTATGTATTTCCGTAATCACCAAAAACTTAATCCGCTCGACTAAACTGCTATCATTCTTCTCGATACAGACTTTCATGTCCTGTCTGGGCTCGATAAGTTTGATTCAGCGATTCGCTGTCTTCTTCTCTTTTTCTCGGAGAATAATCTCTTGTTTATGATATACACGAGGCGCGATAAGCCGTGCGTTACGTTAAAATCTGGACGAGGACAAGTGAACGGCGATGTCACCTTTTGTCACTATGAAACCACACAACGTCGGACCACCTCCTTTCGCCCTTCTAAAGGACATTAGAAGAGGAAAAGGGTGGTCTGCCTCGCTTGCTACTTGGTCGCCTCCGGCGGACAGTCGGGCTGATTGTTGGGGTGAGCCGCGGTGAAGGCCGGATGGTGCTCCAAGTGACGGTCCACCCTGAGAATCGTGGGGAAGGGTCTAAGGTCGACGTGAAACCTCCGTGCATTGAATATCTGTGGCACTAGGCAACAGTCAGCTAACGTAATCTCGTCGCCAACGCAATACTTGCCCGCACTCGACGATAATAGTTTTTCCACGGCTAAAAAAGAAAAACAGCATTATCGATGTTTGCGCTTAGCTACACGCGCCGTGAAGGCTCTACTTCATGACACTGATTAAACACGTTGTTTTCGCGAACACATCCAAGGTTACCACATGACGTGATCCACGATTTTAATATGCAACGAGCAATTATCATTGCATATGTTTGAGATATTTAAAAATTGCGCCAAGCATACAAGGTAATAATAATTAAGGAACTAGCTAGTGTTTTCGCGTAAGTATGCAAAGCATTAAAGACTGATTATTGATTTCCTGTTTAAGATTGATTAACGCGTTGACTAGTCTGATTAGTCAACGGAAAATGACGCTATAAGTTCATAGTAAATTAAATATCGTAGCCGATACAAAAATTAAAAAAAACTAGCTAATAAATACATGCATCAGGAAATATATGAATTTGTTATTACTTCAGTTATTCGAAGTTCAATTAAATTTTGGAACAACTCATGAAAACCGTAGTGGCAAACAACTAAGATAATATCTTAAAGATAAGACATATATTTTTCACACACAAAGATTATCGAGACATTTTAACGTTTGTCTTCAACTTGGTTAAAAAAAGGTATTCTCGACGCTTTGTAAACTAATCGCGAACAACACTACATCTTCGGCTTGTAAAACTGGAAATTGGTGTGTTAATGAGATCAAACGTATATGTTATCTGTAATCTTGAAGCACCTGTAAATCCCCTGGTAATCCAATGCTGCGCCCATTCCTTTTTGCGCTCTTCCCCGACGTAGATCAGGATCGTGAGATTTTGTAGCGGTTGTATGCCACTGGCAATCACCTCGCAGATCTCTCTGACCCTGGCTCTCTTGACGGGATCCGCCGGCATCAGCGGACGACTCGGCCTGGTCTCCTCCAAGTATTGCAGGATATTTAACTGCGTTATTAAAAAAAAAATTACTCGTTATTGTCGGATGAGGAAAAGTTGCGAAGAGATCGCGACGATAAAATGCAAATCGTTAATTGAACTCACAGACTCTATTAGTGTATGATTGTCGATGTGGAGCGCGGGGACCTGCTCCATCGGATTGATCTCGCGAAACTCATTGGAATGTTGCTCCCCACCACCCTTCACCAAGCTCACTGGTTTTATGTCGTATGGTATCTCCTTCAGATTCAACGCTGTTGGCAGATAAACATCGTTAGAAATCTATCGTTTAAAAACTAAGAAACTACAAGAAATAACGAGATTCAAGTATCAAGTATCGGTAGTCGCCCGACAAACCTACCAATTTTAATTGCCTGTTGTTACATAATCATTACATAATATCGTAATATCATTATACAAATTTGAACTCTTATCAATGTTTCTATTTAAGACTCCTGGATATTCGCAGAACTTTGGATTGATGACGTCAGAAGCGAGAAAACGCACGTCCAAAATTCTTACGTGCTGTTTTTAAGTAAAAGGACAATTGTATGATAGAACACTTCTGATTGTTTGAGCATGCTTGAAGAATGCTCCAAAAATTATCATTTTCCCTTAACAATCAATAAACAACTGCAAAATTAATGTGACATGCAATCCTTCTCTTTAACCTATCTTTCCATCATGATTTTGTCATGTCCATTTTACGGCTATTTATTACGTATTAAAGGAAAAAGACAATTTTTGGAGTTTTACAAGTATGCTGAAGTACTCCTTTACATAAATATTTTTTAATTCAGAAATGGCACGCAAGAATTTTCAACGTGTTAATTTCTCGCTTTTGACGTCACAATCCAACATGGCCGCGGCGAGTACACAAGAGTCTCAACTTTTATCTCTTGTCCACACCTTGCTTTAATTCCTAAACCTTAAGAAACTGACCAACCACAGTTGATTATTTTTAAAATAATCGACTGTGGTTGGTCAATTTATTACGGCTTAAAGATTGAAGCAAGATTGTGAACAAGGAGTTATCGATGCTTCCGACCACAATTCTCTCAAAATAGGAATGTACTCGATATTTTCATGTAGATCTCGAAAGAATCAGTCGTTTTGAAACGTGCAGCATTCGTCACAAGTTGCGACGTAATCACGTCCCAGACAGCATAATGTCCAAAATCGGGTTATGACGTCTTTAAAACATCTTTAAGACAAGTTTATAAGGTATTATCTTAAAGATGTCCTAAACCCCTTGTCCACAACCTTGCTTTAATTCTTAAGCCGTAAGAAATTGACCAACCACAGTTGGTTATTTTTAAAATAATCGACTGTAGTTGGTCAATTTATTACGGCTTAAGAATTAAAGCAAGATTGTGGACAAGGGGAAAGATGTCTTATGACTCGATTTTGGACATTTGTGCTGTCTGGGGTGCAACTATTCTTCTTGGAGATAACGAAATCTTCACTCACCAATTCTCACCCTCCACGAGCAGGAACTCCGCCAGTAGGAGTAGAGCACCGGCTGTCGGAAAAGAAACGGGAGAGGGTATAAATTCGTGGCAAAGTTCGCTCGTGCACGACCGGTCCTCGAGGACACCGACGTGCCGCGAGGCCGGTCGTGAAACCAGAATCGCGCGCGCTGATGGAAAGAATTTATGACGATTGCTCGGTAGATGTAAACAAGGACATTCGCCGAGACGTGCATTCATTAGGGCACGCCTCGTTCCAATCGTCGATGGGATGCTAACGCTTGATTAGTATTAATCGTCTCTGTCCAGGAATTTTTCGACGAATCGTTCTCTAACGGTCCAAAAAATTTCGTCTCACGCGAGATCTTTTCCTTTCCTAAAATCGGGAAAGCTTTGCAAACTTACAATTATTCAAAGTCGATACAGTAGAACTATGTCGCCGCGTAAATGATTTGCGAAACTTAATACAAGAAATTTACACCTTTTTCAATAAAAATTATTTAACTAAATATCTAGAATCTATGTTACTTTATGTGCATAGTTCTTAATTTAAGTAAAATATCATATATTTAATTATTTCATCACTTAAATAATCATTCAATCATTCAAAAGATCAATCAAAAAAGCTCTATATTAAAAGAGTTTAAAAATATATATAAAATCTTTGAAATATTAATGTTTTTTAGTGAGATTTCATAATTTGCAAACCTCTCGGACTTGTATTCTTCAGTTACTGAGAAAGACCAGATAAAAAACATGCGAAAGACACACGACAATTTGACTTAACTACTATAAACAATCAGCAGATATTTCAATGATAACCGTTGAACTTCTCGATTGATAAGTCGCAGTCGACATTTATCTCGCGAGTGCACCACTTGGCCGACTAAAGTTTCTCGCGAAATAGCTGCGCGTCCACGCGCGCGCGCGCGCAGCCGGCACAGTCCGCACATTACAATGCACACGTTACATGCAGTCGTACGTTACACGTTATCGGCGTGTTACATTCGCGGTTCCGCATGTTCGCTCCTCCCGAGATCACGGTGGCTGAGCTTCGTTCGCGCGTCGCGGCATTCGTGAGACACGGCTCCTGATAGAATAGAGCTCAGTTTCCGATGGACACGGTGCGGGAAAATGAGCCTTACGCGTTTAGGACTCTATCGTCGTCGCGAACGAGCACGGTCCTTGTCGACGTGCGATCGCGGCATTGAGAGATACCGTCGCTGAGTAGGCTTCACTCATATACCTGGAGCCGCCGATTCCGGTTTGGTGTCGACGAGTCGCGACGTTATGGCGTGAGATACGCGCGACGAAGTCGAGGTGTGAGTCGCGAACCGGCTGAGCACGAACGCTATCTCGTCGACAGTCGCCTCGTCCGCAGAAGGTTAAATATTCTCACTTCAGCACTCACCTTACCCATCACGGACATCTCGTCGGCCTCTCGTCGTCGCGAACAGACTCGCCTGCTCAATTATCACCTTGGCCAGCGGCTCCCCGGTGCCAGCGCGCTTGTCGCCGTCAGAATCTGTCAGAAATGCAATTCGGAATCGCGGTGAACGCGCGAAATCGCACCTCCTCACCCCTTTTATTCGATTGCCATAGCCGTTCCCCCCGTTCCACCGGCTACATTCCGGCCCGACCAGCGAGCGTCCAATCGCCGCGCGCTTTCCGATAGGCGCCTCCACGGGGCGCTTTGATCGTTCATACGGAGTAAACGGTATATATACATTGACAAACGAACAGAAAACTCGAACTTCTGACTTGAAATTGTTTACATTGTTGATACAATTTTCGATGTATAAATATGTCGGTTAATACGCCCTTATATTGGCAATATCGATTATTAGTTTCAAGCGGTCAATGTACTATTTTATACATATATATATATATATATATCGGTCTGTTCGTGTAGCTACATTAGCTACACTCATTAGAAAGAAGAGCTCTCATTGGATATCATTTATCGCGTCTAGTGTGCAACGGGTATTAGATGTAAAAGTGTTAAAGCAATGCAAACAAACCTTAAGTGGCACACGGTGCTTGTTTCGTGCTGAATTGCTTGCTCAATAGAAATACTCTGTTTTGATTGGTGCATTTCTGAAGATGGATGGAAATGCACCAATCAAAATCGTGTGCCGCTGGGTTTAGTACAGGAATAACGGATCTAAGGAGTACATTAAGTACATTGGTCAATTTAAATGCTGTTTATATATATATATATATATATATATATATATATATATATATATATATAGGCTGCGTTCCGAAATTTACTGCCAGTACTGAAAATCTACAGTATACGTGACATAAACTATACATTTTCAGTACTGAATAGCAGTGAATACTGCACGGAACACAGCCATTGGGTATGTTCAGCGGAAAAAGCGCTCAATGAAAAATCAGCGATTATTAGTTTTTACTGGGCTCGTTCCGTTACACGCTCGCAACATCTCGTTTAACATCCATGAGCACAAAGATAGAATGACGCTCGCGAGCGTTGTGAGTGTGTAATGGAACGCGCCCACTGTTAGATCCCTAAATCTAGACCAATTACATTGACGAATTACTCAACTGTTGTGCAACTGTTGAGTTCGCTGAACACACCCATTACCTCAATTTCTCGTTAAAGAAAGTGGCGACTCGTAGCGGATGCTACAGAACTATTTTTACAAAAATAACGGTCTAATAGCGTGTTCGAGTGGCTCTAGGTTAACCATGGACGTAATATACATGGACCCCGCATACGGCCAGAAAAATAAAGCCAATATGTACATCCCCTCTGTGTTCTCTGTCTCTTTCTGCACAGACAAAGTGTGCAATAAAAGAACTAATTGAGCCCCTGATCTGCTTCTGTGTTCATAAGACTGCAAGAGCAGGAGTAAGGGCTATCGCACACAAATTGACATAACTGCATATACATAGCATAAGATCGTATGGACCAATGAGCATCGAATATTAAGCATCGAACACCAATATGGCGGCTTAATACTCGATGCTCATTGGTACATACGGTCTTATGCTATGCATATGCAGTTATGTCAATTTGTGTGCGATAGCCCTAAGAGTAGACCACAAAATATTACAGTTATAGATGGGAGATTATACTATTCTCTCGGATCCAGATCTCACTCGCTCTACTCTCGTTATCCTAAGCACCCAGTGGCTTGGTTTACATCGTGCATTTGATACGCGTACTAAATAGTAACTTTCTATTAGATAATCTTAATATCGACGATATATATAAACAACAGTATATTAAACTGATATAATACTCATCAACAAAACGTATTGTATTAATTGAATGCGTCGCCGTCGATATGCATTGTCGATATTAAGATTATCTAATAGAAAGTTACTATTTAGTACGCGTATCAAGTACACGATGTAAACTAAACCGATATGGGCTGCGTTCCGAAATGCACTGCCAGTACTGAAAATCTATAGTTCATGTTACGTATATTATAGAATTTCAGTACTGGCAGTGAATTTCGGAACGTAGCCATGATGTATTGCAGTATCAAATAAATTTTACTCGTAATAATGTTCATTTTTAGTACTTCAGAAAGACGAATAGACTAATTTTGCTTTATTTAACGCTTCGAAGTATTTATAGTGTCAAACAAACTGTGTCCATAGATTCAAAGTAATGACAGCAAACAATTGGAATAGTGGTAGATTTAATAGTGGATCATGTGCTTTTCCTTTATATTGAAATATATATCTACTTTTCATTCGTTGTCGAGTTGCTTGATTCATATCCATGCTAATAGACTGACAATTAATTTATGTAAAAAATGTCCTTTCAAGATCTTATAAAGAATTTTAAACTTTCTACTTATTTTTGATTGAACGTTATATATCGATTTCGTTCTCGTAACGAAAGATGTAATTACGTAATTTTTGTAATGTTTGTGTAAGATATATAGTCAATATATTTTTTTTTACTCTTGACGCATTAAAATTATAACACTTTTTATTACTATTTTACTATTTGTTTTATTTTTTTCTATACCCTGTGTGCGTGAGAAAATTTGTACTGATCTCGTATATCTCAATTCGCTTTCAGCGCAATTAGAAAGACACAACGCAAGATGATTTAATTGGAAAACAAATTGCGGTAAACTTGCTGTTCGTGAAGTTTGCATTATCATTAATTATTTGTGTGTATAAAAGATCTAAGTCTTAATTCTGTCAATATATAAATAAAATTTCTACAAAAATGAAGTATCGAAAGAGACCTGCACAGTGAGGTTATGTGATACTTTTTCCATCACAGGAACGATACAAATTTTCCTGGACTAGCAGACAAATACTTGAAAATAATGCTTGGTAAATTTATAAGACAATTCTGGAAAGAATGGTCAGGAACAAAAAATCTATATGCAGTAAAAGACCGATATAATATGAGAGACAAACAAAAAGGTATCCGTACAAGGGAAAGGTTCGCGCTAATGTACGCTTTCGCCGCGTGGACTTGTTTCGGTTTTACATTCTACTCACTAGTGAAGAACAGAATGCCGGATGACCCAGCTGAAAAAAGTATGTCTTTTTCCAATTTTCAAGTCGAATTTCAAAGTTCAATTTTGCATGAAGTAACTGACTGCACTGATTATTCACAGGAGCGTCGATACATAACCTAGCTGGTGCACCTGGTAATTTATACGTATGTAAGATTGAAGGTTTGACTGTTGTGGATGAATTCCAAATGAAATTCGAGGAAGAGGACGAAGACGAAGAAGAGGAAGAGGAAGAGGAAGAGGAAGACAAATAATAGGTAATATTCAATAACCATTATTTCTTGATAGTTATTTAGAGTATACAATAAAATATCAAAAGGGACAAGTTTTGTCGAGGAAACTTTGCAATATCTACAAATACATACAAACAACATGTTGGTATTGAGGCTTCTGGGTGCTGGCCGCGAAAATCTGGACTAATGATGTTAAAAGAAAAAAATGTCCAAGATTCTTGTGTCACTTCCAAATAAAAAGATATTTGTATATAAGAACACTTCTGATTGTTTAAGCATACTTGTAAAATATTCTAAGAACTATCCTGCTCCTTTAGCAGTCAACAGACAATCACAAAATTAACGTGACATGCAACTTAACTTCCTCCCTTACCTTTCCTTATAATTTTACCAAGTTCATTTTACAGCTACTTAATGATTATCAGAGGAAAAGGATAGTTTCCTAAGTACGCTCAAGTGATCTGAAAGATTTTTTCATACAGATATCTTGTTATTTGGAAATGACGCAAGAACGTTCAAGGCGTTATTTCTCTTCCCGATGTCACAATCTAACATATCCACGGCGAATACCTTAAAACCTAATTTATAATGTGCTCTTTCCTTTATGTTTCTTGTTCTCTATCTTTTTTTTAGCTTAAGGTTTAAGTCAGAAAGAGATAAAGAAAAAGAAATGAGGAACAAAGAGCACATCATAGATCTGAGCTAAATCGTTTGTTGTATCGTGCTTCCAAGAAGAATCTTGTCATCAGTCTCGAGAAAAATCTATCCCACATCAACACAGATCGTTCGATTGCTCTGTCAAGGAAGAGATCTTCGTAATGCCACAGCACCAGCATTAGAGCCACTGGATTCTGGTCTCAATTCCTTTAGTCTCTGATCCATCTCGCACAATAATGAGGATCTGTAGGAACATACAAAATGCAATATATACAGAAATGTACAGTGTATCAAGCGTCAGTATCTCGACTTTGCATCTTTCGATTTGGACGTATTTTTACCAGAGAAAAATCTGCCAAACTTGGAGACGTGATTCTTTAAAGTCAGATCAAATCGTCGTCAAGCTCGACGAAGTTTCCCCAGAAAGTTGATTGTAGGGGGAAAATTCTGCACTTCAAAATGGTATTTTTAAGAAATCAACTACCCTGATTCAATCAAAATCGGAACTGCTTCAAAAACTACTCATCGAGCTCTACAGTTTGATTTAAAACTTTTAACTCCTCGCCGCCGAACTCGTATTTGGTGACATCAGAAGCGAGAAAATACATGCCAAAAATTTTTTACAAAATACGTTGAAATGTGTCCATAAAATAACACACAATCGATCAAGCGAACTTATAAAATAATTCTAATATTCTCTTTTTGTTCAATCAATAAATAACAATAAATAAAATTACTGCAACTTTTCTTTTCCTATTTTTATGATTTTGTCCCGTAAATTTTACGGCTATTTACGGCTATTGGTTGTTGGAGCAAAAGGAAAATATTCGAACTATTTTACAGGTCTGTTCAATTGATTGCAAATATCATTTTATTTCAACGTATTTTGCAAGAATTTTTAATGTATATCTTCTTGCTTCTGACCAGAATCCTTAAATATCATCACAAGAAGAGAAAAGAGCAGTTTTCTTGTCGAGTCTTAGACTCTAATCCGTACCTGTACTCTTCGTAACGCATCACAACCTCTTCCAGTTCCTGCTTGTATAGCCTGGTGAGCATGGCATTGAAGCAATCCAATTCGGGCAGCCGAAAGAGCTCCCAGCGCAACTTACGATCTAGAGCGATCGAGGCCCTACTGTAGACATACAGCCAATGCGGTATCTCCTCATTGAGATAGGGGTTGGCCGGCACCAAGACACTGTGAGAGTGAAAATGAGTATGCCGCGGTGGTGACACTACGCGCACCGCTTGCATCTCGTGCGGGTAACAGGGATGCTCGTATTGCGCTTGACGTGTGATATGACTGAAATTGGAAAGTACTCTTCGTTAGGTGTACGCACTTGATAGGACTTGACTTTATATTTGATGCTTTGCTTATCAAGGAGAAGAAAGAAAGGCTCTACGATGTATAATCGCAATTTGAAAGAGATCTTGGAACTAAAACGCCAGACGTAAACGTGAACTATCTAACAAAGGATCTATCAAAATTTCTCTCGCTAATTGTCATGAACTCTAAGTGTCTTACATTCAGGGATATGGGACAACTAATTGGATTACCTCTGAACGAGAAAGTATTTACAAAAAAGACGTCTTATGTTTAGCTATTCTAGGATATATCCAAAGCTCATCTTATAGATATAAATGTTTCGAGGAAGTTTGGTTTCTTTTTGAGTTCTACCGACTTTGTCACTCACTTCACATAATAAACGCCATACTCAGGCGACTCGATTCTCTCCCAACCAGTAGGTAGGCCCTCCTTCTCGAGCGGATGCGACCAATGTGTGGTCTTCGTATTGTGATCGATGTAATATTTCCGGCCACGGAGGGTGAAGTCGACTGACCACCCGGGAGGCAAGGGCAATTCTTCTTGTTGCTCGCTCCGAGAACTCGATCTCTCTGAGTGGCATCTGCTGTACCTTCAAACGTAAATCGAAACTCGGTGAAACGAAATGAGTTTTAGACGAGACGACAAACATAAGATAATATAGATCGATTTGTACTGATTTCATCAATTCTGAATTTTGAGCAATCTAATTAAATTCCCCAATAGATATTATAATGTAGACTTCTTGTTCTATGATGTAAATAATCTATTACTATGACTAAAATATGAAAAATGTTCTTGATACATAAAATATCAAGATTCTTTAATATAAAATTGTTCTCTCAAATGGAACTACATTATTCGTATAATGAAGAATAAAATAACATAGATTGAACTTAAAGATGGTTTGAAATTAAACTAAGATGACTAAGTTGATGATAATAACTAACATATACCTGCGAATTTCTTTTACCGCGCGTCTTACAGCTTACAAGTATCGATACACGAGCGCAATAATTTATAGGATATCGAGAAAGATGTGTTATATTGTTATATTGTTTCAGGTGAACTTTAGAAATTCTGTGAACTGTCATACCCAGCATTCTGACGGTACGCGGAGCGATTATAGTCCTCGTAACCAGTGTCGACGTCGAAGGGCATGTAAGGCATTTGCGGTGTCTGAACCCTGTCCAAGTGATACTCGGATCCAGCATATTGATTGATATAAGTGTGAGACATCGCGGGCGACAGTTCGGCATGGTACATGGGTGTCGCGGTCCTCGAGGGCATACCGTCGTTAGTTCCCGTATTAACGGAGAGACTAGCGAATCTATCGTAAAATTCAAAAGGGTAAAAACAATTCAAAGCATATATATTGCAATCTCTGCAAAAAAAATACCTATATACATATACTATTAACCTTTGAGCTAAGTCCGGGACAGAACTGTTCGGCGTGTATTTGCCTTCGTGGCTACCGAGACCGACGGCGCTGGGAGTAGTTTTCGTGTTGCCGAATTTTTGTACCATACTGGGCTGTTGAGGGACGGACTATGAAAGAGAGAAAGAAAGAGAGAGGAGGAGAGAGATTGATGAGTATCAATTAGTCAACATCTTAATACCCGTTTGTACATAGTTCTCATCTAGGAATTAAAAGAGCTATTAATATACAAGGACAATGTATGTTGCAAGATGATATAAATAAGCTTAAGAAAGAAAACGCGATTTATTTATTAACTTCAGTAAAAAAAGTCAGCGCTTCTTTTGGAACTGGCGATTTAATATCGAAAAATTGGAAGTTTATAGTTCTCAAAAGATTCATCAATAACCAAGATTTTATCTCATTGGGTATGTTAGGAAATGTGATGACACTCTGTGTAATTTGTACATAATGTAATTTACCATAGAGCTTGGCATTGTCGGATGATTGTTACGTCGTCTCGTTCTTTTGTTCGGTTCTGTTGTCCATACATTGATAACTGAGCATAAATAATATTAATTGTTACAATATAATCAATATTTTGGTCATAAAAAGCATATATATTTAATGTTAGAAAACAGGATGCCATCAGAAATGATGAGAAGACAGTAAAAAAGGATATTCCCGTGTATATATTTCATTAATATGATGATAAAAATTACATGAACGGTGAGAATTTATTATCAATAATAAATATAATTGGAAAGTGAATACGTTAGATACAACTACAATGAAAGATTTTAGACACCTGAGTAAATGCTAGAAAGAATTCTATCAAGCTATGGAATAAGATTCTTAATTAACATATGTTAGAAACAAGAAGAGAATAAAAATTTCCAAGTGCCCAAAATAACGCGATAAAGAGAAGTCCGATATAACGGCTAGCAACTAACGAGAAATGACGCTAAGCGCGAAGACGCCTCTGACCTAAACTTAAAAATGCCTTTTCTCGCATGCAACGATCTAATAATATCCCGCCTATTAATATATTTATGTGCCTGCACTTTCTGTGCATTATCATCTCTCGAGATGGAATGCATGCATACGTTAGTATTATGTCAGTAATACTAGCGAGAGAAATGAAAAAAAAACGCAATTGATCGGATTCTTCTCGATCTGGATGAAAGATACAAGGATATTCGCGCGAGGAAAGTGTTTTTCGCACAAAGTGCGACGAACTGCGCGCTTGAATGCGTGCGGCTAGAAAGGAACGGGGGAAGGGGAAAGGATTAAATCTCCACCGCGAGAATATACGTACTTGGCATTTCGGGTGGCGTTTCTTTCTTTACGTATCTCCCTTCGACGCCCTCCTTGATCGTCCTCAGATCCTTGTTCTTGCGCGACAGCATGCTGGAGGAGTCGTCCACGAAATCGAAACGTCGTCGTACAAGTCACCGCGGAACAATGGTGCTACCTAACCTATCGTACGAGTCGCGACATTGGCGCGAATTCTCCTCTCGTTTTCCTTTTCTCTTCCCTTTATCGAACCCTTTTATAGAAATGGACGATTTTATAATATCACTGTGGCTTTCCTATCTCCTTTTGCATGATATCCTGCTTGAGATACAGCAAAATTCGGAGTTACTGCATCCAACGATACTTTACATCGCGTCACGTCTGAACTCGTGCAACGGTCGTGAAAGGGTTAAACTCTTGGAGAAGTAAACACTGACGCGCAACACCGCGCTTCGACGACGAAGTTTCCTCGCATTCGATGTACACAACGGTAAATAACAAGAGAGATATATGCGACGTTTACACCTCGGATACCCGAAAACGTCGTTTTGACAGTGATCTTGGTCGAATGGCGGCAAACCAGAACAAATCAGGGACGTATATACACAGATTGCGCGCGAATTATACGAATGAGTAGACGCGATCGCGAATTTGTAAGACTATTTTAAATGTCGCGGATTTGTATGATACTTGAAATGATATTTGAAAACTCCATTAATTTTAATCGAATTTAAACTTTAGATTTTCACACATATCTGATAATTATATCGTGATGATGTTGAAAATAAGAGATCAAGAAATGAAACTTCGTCGTTCGTCGCTCGGTTTTATTGCATTTTGATGAAACCAAATGAACTCTGCACTAAACATTTATCAATGCAATAAACAGTATTTACGAAAACATCAGCGAAAAAATGCCCAACTATAATATATCGGAGGCTGAGAAGAGTGTCTTACTTAAATTTTTTGTAAAAAATTGAGCGTATATGAAAAGTATGTTTTTTCGAGTTTTCATGTTTAATAACATATCTCAACATAAAAAAGAAATTAGCACCGGGCAATAGTAAAGAGCAACGGAGTAGAAATAATTTAGACGTTTTTTTTTTAATAAATGTGTATCTATTTACGCGTAAAGAATCTTTCCTCGGACTTTCTCTCTCTCTTTCTCTCTCTCTTACTCTCTCCCTCTTTCTCTTTCTTTCTACGTCACCGAAGTCATTACATTATTTTACAATAATTATATTTATATATTTATATATATATATATATTTATATTTATATATGTATATGTCACTCTCTCTGTCTCCGTACGAGTTTTTTACGTAGTGGAGGTAAACGGAGCGTAACGCAAAGCGAGCACGTCGTGTGCGAATCTCGTGAGAAACGTTCGACGAAAAATTTGATGAGAAAAATCATAAAAAAAGAATCGAAAAACGAATCTCAAAATAATGGCAATCGTGCGTTCCTCTATCTCTCCCTCGCATTCTTTCACTCTCTCACTCTCACTCTCAGCTCCATGAAAATAGTATGAGCAAGCTGTCCACCCATTCTGTTAAACCATCTATTTTTTTTTATTTTACTCATAGCTATCGTTATTTGCTTATCATTGTCGTTTATTATTATTTCCTCTGTTTAATTATCTTTTATTGTTATCATTATCGTTACTTTATCGTTTAATTATTATTATTATGCAATGGTAAGAAATTTTTAAAAACCCCACGTTCCTACGTTGCCAGTGTAGGAGCACAGCTCCGAGTGGATTCCTTATTATAATCTGCACTGTGTGTGTGTGTGTGTGTGTGTGTGTGTGTGTGTGTGTGTTGTGTGTTGTGTGTGTATCACTATTTACGCAATTATATTTATAAGCAACGGATGTTTTGGTACAATCAAATCTGTCTTTCTTCTTTTTTTATTGTATACTTCGCGTTCTCCTTCTTTACTTCCCTCTTTTATTTAAAAAACAACATATATATCTCTCTTTCTTTCGCGTATCCCCCTTTTCTCTCCGTCCGCGTAATCAAACATCTTATCACTTGTTAACTATTTATGTTCACCGTCACTCGCCGCTTCTTGGCTTCTTGAAAAAAGTTTGTCCTAACTATCCGCGGACACGCAGCCAGCAACAGTCTATGTTAGCACATCGGCCTATATGTTTTACACCTGTATTCTTCATTTTATCGCAGTTTGGTGTAATCCTGTGTGTGTCTGACTTGTTGTATTTCGTCAATATTATTCTATATTTTCTTTTTTATAATCGCACATTATATATATATATATATATATATATATATATATATATATATATATATATATATATACACATATATATATATGTGTGTGTGCATTTATATATGTATATTTTTTTTCATTTACCTAATTTTTTACGTACCTGTTAATAGTTATCGTTTATCGTATAATGTACGAATATATGTTACATTTCAAACAACACCCCCGCCAGTTCCGTCGGGGGCAAGAATCCGCTCAAAGGGGTCAGTCAGGAGGCGACACACACACTTAGCTTTCATCACGAATGCGCGAAGTGTCGCGTCCTACGAGAATGAATATAAAGGATCACAACGACGTGTATATTTCGTCCGTTTCGAAATTTACACCACTCGATCGTCCCCATCTACTGAGAGCACAGCGAGATCTTCGTCAAAAAGGGACTCTAAACATTTGTCGTTATTTGCCGTCATTATGTGCCGACACTGAGTACATCATGCAACCGATCGATCGTCGCCGTTTCAAGAAAGAAAAAAAAAACTGAAGAGAAACGCAAGCGTGAAATATATCCGATATTACGACACGTGTAAAATCATTTGGAATTCACTGGTCGCCATGTTGTTGTAGTTGTAGAGTTGTCGCTGTTCTTGTTGTCGTCGCATTGTCGTTATTGTTGTCAAAAAATAAAATTCCATAATTATCTGCATCGTCTTTTCTTTTTTCACTCTTCTCCTTCCAATAATTTTGTCATTCCAGTCATAACTAATAAAATGAGTTACAATAACGTCAAGAATGCCATCGTGAGACACTTTGTTTCGCTAACAACAATAATTTTTTGTGTGTAGTACATGGACAATCGACGTAAACTAAGGGCTAACAATCGGGCAGCGTGGTACTGTACTTTCACCTGGAACAAAAGAAGGAATTAAATTTTTACTGAAGAAAAATTTACTTAAAATTTATGCGAAAAGATCGACTTAGACGAGTCCGTAAACAAGTTTACATACGTAGCATTACACACACACACGCACACAAAGATTCGTGAGAGTGTATTATTTCGAAAATGGAAATATATAAATGAGAAAATATAATAATAAGGAAGAAAAAATATTTCTCTTACCAGCTCAGGGGCGGGCACGCGTCGTAGGTGTGTTAGTGGCAGGAACTGCATTATTGGAGCTACCTGTCAGAGTGTTACGTCGTTCTATCTCCAATTCACCCAATTTCTTCCACAATTCGTCTCTCTCCTTTTCCCTCTTCTTCTCTCTGTAATTCACTGTTATTAAGAAGAATGCCAACGGAACCTTGCTTTTTATAACATATATAAGTGTATAGATGTATACAACTGGATTTTACGGATGGATTTTAATGGATTTTTACGAACTTGACTTAAATTTTTATATAACGTTTAACTGTTGAGAAGTGTGGCAATAAAAACTAGGAAATAAAAAGTTCCACTTAACGTTGCAAAATAATAAACTACAAATTGGAAATTTCTGAAATTTAGACTTACTTTTGCCTCTCAGACTTATAGCTGGCAGTAAGTTCATCAAAGAGCTTGCTGTTCATCTCCATAAATGTTTTTAAAACGTTATAAACAAGAGCAACGATCGTCTGATTCCAATGCTCCTTGCTAATTCTGTACAATGCCGGGAACATAATCCCCATTATTATATGATTGTTCTCCTCAATTAGAGACATTATATACTCGTTATTCCAAAAGTACAACGCTCTCTCTGCAACCTAAAACATAAGCAACATAGACAATTAGACATTACTCGTAACATAGAATGAATTCATCAAAATCGACGTGATGCAAAACGCATATTCCATTTATTTCTACTTACCTGAAAGTGTGGTGAAGATACACAACGTGCGATTTGCCTGAATAAAGGTTCCTGTATTTTAACAAATTGGACAGGTTCTATAACGTCCAATATTTCCTCGATTTCACCGAGGAACATCACCTCCTTCTGGCTGCACGTTTTAGGCCAGAATTTAAGGAGGCCTCGTACAACTGGTTCTGTTAAAGTCGCGTCTTTTTCCAAAAATTGCACCACACAATAAGCTAACTGCGCGTGATATATCGATAAACATTTCACTTTATGCAGTGGTAACAGCACCTACAATAAATGACAAAGGTTTTAAACAATCGTTGTGATCGAAAAATTTATAGAAATAATATATCATGGTATAAATATCACGATGAGCACCGACTACGGCGTAGCAAATAATATAATCGTACCTTAACCAAAAATTGCTTGTGCTCTACTTTTAAAGGAAGAGCAAATCCATTAATAATGCTACCCAAAATTTCAAGAAGTTCACCGACTCCGTTGAAATGTTCCGTTTCATACACAAACCTGAAAAAATGAATAATAAATAATCAGATGAAAACACGTTCTGAAAAATTCTTAAATGCAAAGTTATAAAAATGAAATCTAAATACATTTTAAAAATGTGTTAAAAAGTTAAAAAGATAATATTCCTCATGGGATAATTAAGTTAAGAAGATAATATTTATATATCCAAATAAATACCTCAGAAAAATGTTGTTTATTTGTTTACGTATGAAGGCTCTAAGACCCAGGAACTTGCCATAAATACGATGCAAAACGGTTTTCAGGAAGTCCCTTTCCCTCGGATCTTCCGAGTCGAATAGATCTAATAACTGTAACAGACAATAGTATAGAATCATACCTATATTTATTAGTTTATATTGAATATTTTTATACACTGAAAAAATTATATATATTAAAATTATTAAGATTAAAGATAAAATTATTATATTAAGTAAATAACGCAGTAAATAACGCAGTGAATCTCTCTCTTTCTCTTTCTCTACCTGTAACACAAATTTTTGGTCGATAACTTTTTTGCCGATAGCAGGTTGGAAATCTGAAGACTCGAGAAAACGGAGGAAGACTTCGTAAACCAGCTGAAGATGAGGCCAGCTCGCCTCCAGGGTCGGATCGTCCTCTTCTGGATCGAAATCTGGGTTTTCACTAGGTGGCAACGTACGGAATAGATTTGCAGAAACCTATAAGAGAAAAACGTTATATAAAAGATAATTATATATTTTTCATATTTCAACATGTATTTATATACTTATCGTTTATCGATTCCACAAAGTTTTTAATTATATTTATTGTATTAAACATCCACATATATGCACACACACACATATATGTGAGAATTATTAAAGTAACTTACTTCGTAAAATTACTTATTCTCCGAGATAATAACACGTTAAAGTAAGTAAAAGTTTTAATTAATTGTAATGTTAGACTCTTCAGCTATTACTAAAAAAGAGAGTGAGAAATCTGAGCTTTCCAACTTCAGTATTTCTCTCTAATGTAAATTTTATTAATTACGTGCCATTTTAATGGTTTCCGGGTAAACAGGTTCGGTGAGGACACCTCGTCCCGCTGTAATGTACTCCACCAATTCATTGAGCGTACTCCGTTTAATTTCCTTGCCTTTGAGATCAGCCATCGGATCCATGAAATCGAACGCCACGCAACATTGTCGGAGCTTTTTGATAAACAGCTCCTCCTGCTCTGAAGGTGTAACATCTGTAAGCAATAACATGATATTAATACATGTCCGAAAGGATCTTCGCGTCTTACGATAAAGGCGACTTTGAAGTTTATGGAAGAGAGAGAAAGCGACATTTATTTTCATGCCTGACAAAAATTACCGCTTCATTGTAGAATAATAAGAAAAAATAATTATTATAGAATAAAAAATGTTTTCAAACAATATGAAATATAATAGTGTTATTGAAGCGCAAATTTTGAGCTATATAAAGGACAAAACTGTAAAGAGAAAACGGGCGATAAAATCGATGTCGTTCGCTACAATAAATTTAGTAATAAATTTACTAGGGGAAACAAAAAAACAAATATATATATTTAAAAATATAAGATTAATCTCCATATAATTCTGACGAATGACCATAGTTAAAATTCAAGATTACCCTCTTTTTTCCCTATAAAATCCTATAAATTTTGTTTAAAACCTATAATTTAAAAATCCTATAATTTTGTCTGTCAGTCTCAGTTTTCAAAATATTCGGCTGGCCTGTTTAAAATAGGACACTCTGTATGTATGTATTTGTGTGTGTATATATGTGTGTATATCACATATTAAGCGCTCGATTACTATTTCTAACCCTTTATTGATAATATGAGCGAATAAGTGTCCAATAAAGCGTTATCATTTCTTTTGCTTCTAAATGTGTAAGTAAACAATTTAATTGAGCCGATAAAAAGCGAAGCCGTATAAGCCCATTCTAGCAATACTGCATAATAGACCATGATGATATCGCTGTACGAGCAAATTATACGGAGTGTATCTTTCAGCTGCCTATCTTTCAGATTTCCTGATGAATTCTTAGCCAACCTCGCTTGAGAAGACCGCTAAATTCTTCACGATCTTCCAACCTTCAATATTAAATATTCCTAATGTGAAACATGATATCAAGAAAAATCAAGCTGTTACTGAATATAAATCGGATGTAAATTAAATCGCCCCATTAATTTTATGAATTTCAGTTTTCTCGCAGTTTGAATCGGCTTCGATTCTCGATGTTTCGAGTCTACTAATAAGATTAAGTAACTTAAAATCTCAACAACAGTCAATATATGTTGCACCACATTCGTTCACGCGCATATTAATCAGCTTATTAATTAAATCGAGACACGTACGCGGCCCGATTACCATAACAATGTTAACGATCGACGCGTCGCAGTTATATTTCATCGACACGCTGCGTGTCCGTGTCATCCGTCGGGCAACAATCTCTCGAATATCGTCGTGGCGTCCTTAAATTACGGAAGGACGAGACGAGTCGAATATTCAGCAAGCGCGACACGTCCGTTCTGAAAATACGTATTCGAAGTGGAGGGTAAAGGCATATCCGTGACGTCACGTGTACTCGCTCACCCCTCGTTCTAAGTAACCACTGGTGCACGAGCCGATATTTTGACGCTCTGAGTGTTTAAGAGCCTTCGAGCTGGTCGAGATGCAACGGGGAAGGGTGCAAGGATGAAATATAGGACCAGTTGCGTCCACGTGGGCGAGCGAGCGCGCTAACCCGGTTAGTGAAATTTCGTTTTATCCGTCCATATAGCCGAGATACGTATATTTCAACCCTGGGACACCAGGACACCAGGATTATTTTGCAGGACGTTTAAGGCAGACGGAGAGTCGACGAAAAAGTGTACATCTAAGGTCACAAAGACCAAAATAATAACAAGATATGGAGTTAGGTACCAATATTATTAGTGTCCTGGCATTGGTATTTTTAACTTTTCACTGCTCGGTAAAATGAAGAAATAGACTTTTCTTACGAAGAAAGTCCAAATCCATCAACGAATAAACCCGTCAAATTGAAGTCCGCGATCGTTAATTCGAGAATGAGGCTCCGCATGAACTAAAACATCGCGCACCCGAAGAAGAACCTTTTATCTCTGATTTATAAGTGCAAGACGGTCCAAGGCGAGAGGTTCGTTACTCGAGAAAAATTGACATTGAGGAAATTATAGGTGATGGGTGGTAGGTGATGAGTGACTGGATAGATGCGGGACACCCCGTGCAACACAGCCGAAGAGTGGCGTGTGCACACACACATATATACACACGCACACACGCACATCAGCTAATCAGTTTTTGCCGTGCGCTTCGCTTCACCTCGCTTCGGGATAATGGCGCGGTCTCAATGTCCCGCAGTAACTTCGCTCTTCGTAATGGCACACGGCGTGGCCTCAATGACTTTATCGAATTATGCCAAACTCTCTCGCGCTCTCTCACACGCTTGCTCACTCGCTCAAAACCGAGGCCGTCCTACGCGAAATATCTCATTGCGGAGAATGGCTATCCTGGGAAAAAATTGGCAGCAATCTCCGCGTTTATCCATCATGATTTCACCCCGAGCACCACCGAAGGGGGTGAACCGCCCCTCGGTGGCGGACGGGCAGAAGGATGCAAAAGATGACACAGATTATGATTTTTACGCGGCGACGACGACGACGGTACGCCGCATCCTTGAATGGCGACGACACTTCGGAATCGCGCGGGCCGAAATAGCGAGTCGCGTAGGAACGACGAAGCTTGTAACACGTCCAAGATGTATTTAGAATTTTCGCCGACGTCAGATCACGAAATCGAGCTGGTTGTCGCCGTCACATATGACATGCGTGGTGCATTCACAACTGCATAATTGCAGGTCGAGGAGTTGCGTCTCCGCGAGCAATCACAGCGCGACACCCTTTCGTGTCTCTATGCCTTGGGACTCGTTACTCGATTATGCGGAGGAACCACGCAGAAACGCGAAGTCGTCTTCGTGGGATTTCCAGAGGGAATTCCCAAGGAACCTCTTTTCTTTTCTCTCGGTTCCCCTCGTGTGAACCTCGCGACTGCTGTATTCGCCGCTATTTTGATAGCGGCTCGATAAGTCGACTTCCCAATGAGGCTGAACTCTCCACTCTCTGTTCGATCGGTTTCATTACTGTGCCTTGACTACTGCGACTCGCGTACGTATCTTGACCGCCTAATTTAATAATTTTTCACTTCTAATCTTCTAATTTTTTTTTTGTTAAATATTTTATCGTCAGGAGATGGACTATTTCGTGATTCCTTTTCAAGCTAGTCAAATCAGAATCGTACCTCGGGTTATTTCGCCGATAATATTCTGCGGAGCGAGTTCATGTCACGCGAGCAAATGAACGAACGAACGCGAGATCCCTAACGAGGTGAGGGCGTAATTAATTTTTCATCCGGTTTCGGGGCTTTAATCGATGCCAGACACACGATTCCTCCATCGAGCTCCCGCGGCTTCTCTCGTTAGGGGAAGTAAGCGGAGCTACGCCGTCGGTTGAACGGCCTTAACGCGATCTCCCGTTAAATCCGATAAAAAGACGGCGAGAGGGAAAGATTTTTCCGTATCCGTCTCTCCGCGTCGGTCGATACGATTCCCCGATACCGAGTAAGAAAGATGAGGATGAGGGACGAAGAGGCTCAGGGGGAGGAGGTGAAAGGTCGAGGAGGAGGAGGCGCATCGAGAATCGGCCGTCGAGACGCCGCGCGGCATGACGCGTCACGTCGCGTCGCGTCGCGTCGCGAAGTGCTCCAAAAATAGCGTTACGCGCGCGTTTGCCTCGTCGTCGTTCGTTCCCTTGGCGTTACGTGCGCCTGATCATCTAGCATGCACGTATTTATAATTTCATTCATAACGCGACACGTACTTTCATGTGACCGCGCCACGTCGCGTCGCGCCGCCGCACAGCGCAAAGAGATATCTACCTCCTAAATCCGCAGGAGGGTTCCCGATCGAGAGAAGATCGTTTCACCTTGATCTCTCGCGAGACCGGTGATATTCTGCCGTCAGTTACTACCGATATCCTGTGTTAATCTTTTCGTCCTTCTCGCGACTCACGAGATGCGCCCTTCCGCGATTTTTCTCCACGATAAGACATTGTTCTCATTAATTATCGACGGAAGAGTCATTTATCAACGTGGACCGCTCTTCGTCAATCACCGTCGCGACTGACCCGTCACTCGGGCAAGGCGGAAAATCGAAGGTCTGTCTGGTGATGGTGCAAAAGTACGAGCTCATTCGAGGAGAGCCGTCGCGGTGGTCGTCGGAGCGAGCGTCGAGAGTAATTCGGCGGTGAATTATGCGCTCGTCGCGAAATACGAGACAGATTATCGATACCAGGCGGGGAAAAAAAGAGAAAGAGAACAGAGGGTTCTACAGAGTGAAAGCGGAACGTGTTATAAAACAGAGTTGAAAAGAGGGATACTCAGAGCTGGCTGAAAAATCAAGATGAGTAAATGCAAGGAATTTTTTCAAAAATATATAAAAATAAAATACAACGAATATCGAGAAAATGTACAGGACATAAAAAAGAAAAATTAATATAAAATAAAGCAGAAGTAAGTGAAAAAGAGAGAAAGAGAAAGAAAGATCGAAGGGGTAAGAGGGTTAAAAGAGGACGGACGGAAGGGGAGGAAACAAAATAGGGATAGAGCGAGAGGGTCGAGGTAGCGAGAGGGGAAAGGCAAACGAGAAGGGGTAGGAGCGCAAGAGAAGCGGGAGAACGGGAGGGGCGCAAGAGGGGGCGGTGGAGGAGGGTGAAGGAGTAGAAGAGCGCGTTCCGGGCAGGTGGTCGCCGGCATTCCGGATCAATACTTCCACCGCTTCTCTTCTGGGGGTACGTCAGGTAGCCTCTTCGCCCCCTTTTCCACGACCCTTATCCCTCTTGCTCTTGCGCTAACTTTCCCCGCCGTCTTCGTACTTTCGTGCCCTCTCTCCCCCCTTTTCCCTCTCGCTGCCACCCCCCCATTGTCATCCATCGCCCAGTGTCGTCCGTGTCGTTCGCATTCGAAATCTCTTTCCTCTTCCTTCTTCTTCGTCTGACCGTCTTACGTTTCCTCCCGACCTTCCTCGCGCATTTTCCGACTCCTCGCCCTTCACCCCAACACTTTTCTCATGATTCTTTGCGGATTTTCCCGATATTTTCTCTTCGCCCACTATTTCACGATTCGTCGTGTTATTCTTCCGCCCTTCGTTCTCTCCGTCGCTTCTCCCCTCTCGCGCTCTCTGACCTCTCTCCGTATTTTACGGGTACGAGCAAGAGCAGAGAATGTATGTCGAATCTAGACGTTACCCGATACGATACGCAGTGCCTCTCAATATGTTACCGGTGTTGCTCCTACGCGAAGAAACGGTATTCTTCTTCTTTAGCGAGCCCCGAGGTCAGACAGCGAGACCGATGAAGTTTCGACACAAACATTCTCGATCGGAGTGTCAATCGCCGGAGTAAAAACGCGCAAATTGCCGAATCGGATCGAATCGTTCACGAATGTCTCATCGGCCGCGGCAACCCCGTACAAACGACCGCTGCACACGAATAAAAACAACTCTGTCAATGTAATTGAATTTTCTGTTATTTGGGGACCACCTAAAAAACTCGGATGTAGAAACAGGAAGATACCTGAAGAAGAGATTCCTACTCAACCAATTGTGTTCTGAGTTATCTCAACCGAGTTTTAACTCTAGAACTCTAAACATTAGATAAAATTTACCTAGACAAACTTTTCAAACGTTACCGTTCTTAAAAACATATAATTGATTTTTTTATTATAGTTTCTTTCAACTTCATTGAATCGCGAAAATATTAGTAAATTTGTATTTTTCGATATTTTCTACACCAATTAAAAAAAAAACATTGAATTTTGATAATTTTAGCAGAAATTATGGGCAAATAAAGATATGCTAGGTAAAATTTACGGGCAGTAAATTTATGGATTTACGTGACTTTTAATATTTCGAGTTGCAGGGTTAATGCAGCTGAATGTTCAAACGAATGCTTCCGGTCGCAGTAACAGAGATATTGTTTCTCGTCAGCGAATTTTTCGTCTGGTCCCCATTCAGTAACACGAACTGAAATTTTTTTTCTGTGCAACAGCCGTAGGAATGGAGTGCCGGTGTAACACGGCGTTATAATCGAAAATCCGCTCCGCATAACAGTCGATTAATTCATGCACGACCGACAGCAGTTTTTGTTGTGTTATACGGGCGATCATGTGGTACGAGAGCAACTTAACGATCGGTGCGAAAACGATGTCGGCAACGGCGTTTCGCCCACTCGCGCTTCGCTCCGCTGAAAAGTACACTATCGTCATCCTTGTTCTCCTGTTTTGATCTTGACAGTGACCGTGGACATCGGCGACGCCGTCAATTAGGCAAAAAGTATGCACTCGCAAGCGAGCGACTCCGTGATGCAGGCTATTACGGTAAATATCGCGGTGCAGTTCGTCATTCTGTGTCAAAAAGCTTTTCTTTAGTGTAACTGAATCTTCTATTACTCGGGGACCAGATAAAAAACTCGGTTGTATGAACAGAAAAATTTCTGCAGAAGATTCCCGCTCAGCGCCAATCGCTTTCTCAGCTATCTCAACTGAGCTTCAATACAATGTTCAGATGAACGTTTTCGATTACGGTAACAGAGATATTATCTCCCGTTAGCAAGTTTTTTTCATTCCCATTCAGTTGCGCGGACTTTTTTCGCAAAATTTTTTACTACGTCGAATCTATTAGCGATAGGTTCGCTGTTATACAGGAAATTTATAAATATAGACTTGGATAAAAATTTATAGATTATAGACTCGATGGAAATTCGTCGTTGAAAGATTTCTATTAAGCGCACCTCCCATCAAGAGGATTTTCGAAAATGGCAAAGTGTTTTCATCTGTCGAATTATCACTATGAAGACGCTATTAATTTGAAGTGCCTAAGTAAGGTAAAAATGATCGAAATATTTTCGACACATCCGAGTGTCAAATTTTTCACAATATATTTCGCTCGAATAAATTGAATATTCGAATATCGAGAGCTCGCGGTTGGAATTAAAACAGCTCGACGATTAAAATATAAAAATGTGTGAGACAGGTTGAACGCAATGTAAAAAATCTGATAAATACTGCAAATATCGCGCAGGATCACGGTCCGCAGTGCGAACGCACTGGTTTCCATTTATTTACGAAATGAAAGTAATAAAATCCTGCTTATACGCGCGATTACCAGACCACTCGAATCACTCGGCCAGCCATTTCGACAAATTCGATTCGCCCAAATTATCCGAAAATGCAGATCTCCAAATTAAATTACAACGACAACGAAATATACAAACTTAATTAATTAATAATTCAAAATTTATTTCGCAACACTGTCGTCGGGCTCGATGTATGCGATAATCGGATTACTAACGAGATGAAAAAGGGGCGGGAAAAGCGAGAAAGAGAAAGGGAGAAGGGATGAGAAGGAAGAGAGCACGAGAGCTATAATTTACGCTGGATAGCTTTTAATGAAGTAGCTCGAAAAATTCATCTTCGTAATCCGTCAATTTATCTCCCGCGGCGAATTATTGGTTGTTACGGGTAAATTACGAGTTCCTTAGTCACATCAGTTAGTCATATTCTCCCGCTTCTGTTCTCTCGGCGCGCTCGCCTCCTCCTTAATATGGACCGGGATGGAAAGAACGCCGACGTGACATACGCGCGAGAAGCGTCTGGACAAAGAGCACTATTAATGCTCCCACTTGCGCATGACGCATAATTAAACTGTGTGTTTACGTGTGACGTAATGACTCGAGAGCACGCGCGCGGTTATATTTTTCAAGGAGGAAAATCTGCGAGTTTTCCCTAACTCGGTAACAAATGCGCGAATTTTCACTTTTTATCGCGCTTTTTATTTTCCCGTTATTGCCGTCTCGCCTTTCCTCCTGCATAAAGAGACACGGATGTTGTCCTTATCGTTACGTTTCATCCGCACGACAATCAACGTGCGCGCACGTGAAGATTACACGTATATGTCGATCTTATTTTCGATCTGTTATAAATATAGTTCACATAATAATTGAATTTACTGCGTTGGACACGGGATGGGCGGTGCCTGATGTAAATGAGAAGCCGAGTTCATCCTAATGGGACTTCGATCCGCGACGGAGTTTATCTTGCGGAAAATTTAATTTAAAAGTTGAATTTTTTTCCCGAGAGCAACGCCGATAACTTGAAAGTCGGGGACTGCGGAGTGTTACGGTGTGCTCGAATATACTTTATACTTTTCACCGGGGAAGAATACGTCTATACATATACACATCTAAATTCTCTGATCAATTGACCTGTTTATTCATTGGTATCTCCTTATTCGTCGTGCAGACCTATAGAAAGTCTCCCGACTCTTTGCTCTCCGTTCTCCTTTCAAGATTCAAATTCAGAATATCTCGCGAGGAAATGAGGTCTTCAATTATTCAAGGAAAGATAACGTGCGGTGCTCCTCAATAATAATATTCGCGCACTCACGGTCTTCGACACTCGAGTATCTCTGATTTTTTTGCTCAAGTGTTTGAATATTTAGAGAGGGCGTGTCGCCGCTTAAATGATCGATGGTGCAACCGCAAAATCCGGTTTTCGCTTGATTTCGCCGGAAAAACGGAAGAAATTGGCGATGGAGAAATCATAAGGCTTCCTCATAAACGCGAGGCCGTTCTTTAAGGTACAATCGGTGTATTCATAGCTAATGATTCGGTTAAGCAATTAGTATTGCAATCAATAAAATTTCGCTGCAAAAATCAGTTGACAACAACGACTGCTTATTCATTACCGATGCAGTTTGCAAATACAGACAGTATCATTGCATCCAGATCACATGGAAACCGGTAATTCCATTACCACAAAGGCAAAAGTTATATTTGACATAACGAATGTAAGACGCAGATTTTGCAGTAAAATCTTATTTTCACTGATTAAAATCAGTAAGACATAAAGATAAAAATAAAACGATAAAAAAAGATAAAGATAAAACAGTAAAGTGGGAGAGTCTCCATTGAAAATCAGTGAGTATTCACTGATTATCGGTGAAATGCTCTTTGTGCTGATTAAATCAGAATTTCTGCTGATTCGGTTTAAGAGAGCGTCGTCATTGGTACAATATCCGTAACCGAATCGACTGTGTACTGCACAACACGGTGGTGTCGCGTATTTTCGAAATATCACGGATCGCGACTCATCGTTATCCGTGGAAATTCGTTTTCCAAGTGTTGGTGGTCGAAGCGTTGCGCCGCGCTGCGTCTCGCGCTCCTTCACTCAATTTGCATCGTATTCAAGCGCGTCATCGGGCCACGATAAAGTAAAACGCGAGTGGAAATGTCATCCGAGGTATCGGGCGCCAAAAGGGGTACATTAAAGAGGATGTGCCGCGCGCCAAAATCGTAAAACTTTTACGAGTGCCAGGCGAGAGGAGAGAGAGAGAGAGAGAGAGAGAGAGAGAGAGAGAGAGAGAGATCGTATGATGATGCCGTTTTTCTAGGAGGATCAAACCTTCCGCCCTCGCCCTCGTTCTCAACGATCACCATCCACCTCGGTATCTGGAGCTCGTCCTGAGTCTCCCTCGTTTACTCGCGCAACGATTTCGGCGAGTAATCGGAAAGAAAACGTCGAAGTGAACGACTTTGCGGAAAAGTTTGTACATGGAAATAAATTTCGCAATTGAAATATACGCACGAAAGCACTAGTTGCGAGTATGAGGAAGGAAGAGGGCCAATATATCCTCACAGTGTGAGATCGGCGTTAAGATCTCGCGAGTATACACGTTAAACTATGTAGTTACAAACTCCGCGAGATGAATCGCGGGTGAAGTTCCATGAGAAGTAAATAATGTACGTGTAAACTTTTCCCACCATCTTTCGCGCATTGGGAGGGGTGATAGTTGCGAATATTCCGTAGGGATTTTTATTACAGCGGCGCCGCCGTTATTCAAACTAATGAGACCGGCAGACTGGCATTAAAAGATATCCAGTCGTTCGTAATTTTATTCGTAAAAATTATTAACGCCTCGATATTGAGTGGATATAACTTTGCTTTCTGTTTTATTTAACAAACCCAATGCACCAACTTTTAACAGCTCGCAGAAAAACTCAGAAAATCTGCTTTTCGCAGACCATTCAAGCTCTTCTTTTTTCCAAAACCCCTCGGAGCGGTCTAGTGTATCCTCCACTTCATCCATGCAAACATTCACGCGAAATACTCCACGCTTCAATGGGGAGAGATATTCCACGGGGAGATGCCGTGTCCAGATTGATAGGACATTCGAACAGTGAACTATTCGCACGGTGGGACGTTCGGAGGATGACGGCGATTCGGACAATGGCGGTACCGCTGTATTATACAGGTAAACAATAGTCATTGGATACGCGGTGTGTTGCTCGTTTGCCAGACGGAACGGTGATCGCGTTACCTTCAAGCTTGACAATCTTTTCCTGTTGTTGCTGTGAACGATTCCGAAAGTCTTCCGCGCTTGCTGACGCAAGAGTATTCTTTCGAGTGGTGATCTCAAATATAGTCCCGCTTGTTCTCGCCGCAAATCGCAACAACAAGACTAATTAACAGATTTCCTACTTCTTAGGAATCTCTCCTAATAGCCCACCCACATACACTGAACTTCCCGTTCAGGCCGTCTGACTCCAAAACAAAACATAATTATGATTCCAAAACGAAACACAGTCATTTTAGAATGACACAGATTATTCGACAAATAAAATTTGGTTCATAATATGACAATGTGAGTCATAAATCACGTAAAATTCGTTCGGCACGGAACGCGTTAAAAAATTTATTCATCAGGTATGTAATTTCAGTGGCGGAACCAAAAGAGCTACTCATAGATTCAGTATTTATCGGACAAAATTGCGTTTTTATATATTTATCTCACTATCTAAATAATAAATATCAATTTGGAACTAATTTCATGATATTACATTTCCATGTTTTACTCAGTACAATGCTACTCGAAGCATAAAATACCCGTTTTCTGACCTACAATCGACCATTAACGACGAAAACAGTGTAGTGAGTACAATTCTTTCTTCCATGCCGCGTTTCTTAATATGTAACACTTATAACGGTAAGTTTTCTTATCTGGATGGTATCATCTTTGATAAAATTACATTGGAGTAATGGTTATCTGTATTGTTTCTATCGTAAGGATGTGCAAGATCGCGATATTCAATATTAAATTTCTCACGTACAACGCAGATAAGTCGCATGAAACTTTAACTACAAATTTGTTGCGATAAATGTTATGCAAAATTTTTGCATGATTTTAAGCATTTTGCAAATTTTAGGTGAGTAATTTTCTTAAACAACAATTAGTGAGTCAACTGATAGCGACGAAATCGGCCCGCAAAGAGAGTATCCTCTCCACGTGCGAGAGGAGAGAACGAAACAATACCGCAAACGACGCTGCCGCTACACGCTTCGTTACGTTACGGAAAGTAAAATTCCGTCCGACTCGGTGAACGATCCTCGTGAATAATGTATCGAGAAAGAAGGCTTGTTCCTCGAACGATCCCGGCCAAGTCTCTTTAAATTAACCGCTCGTTTTCCCTCTCTCTCTCTCTTTCTCTGCTCGAACGTTTCACGTCTGGATTTACATCCGGCCGGCATTATCGGTCCTATGTGTGCGATCGCTGCGATTTAGCATGTAATTAGAAAGATGTTCTTTTTTCTTTCATCTCGGGTCATCGTAAATGGATGGAAGTGCGAACCGATAGGTTAACGGGTAGAGAAAATACGCGTTAGGCGAGCCCCGTGAGTAAACGCAGCTGTTTTCACACGTGAGAAGAATTATGCTTCCCAAAATCTGTTACGATCGGAGCGATATATTGGTATTTGCGGTATTTGCGGTAGCTATTTTAAACGTCCACCTGCATTTCATTAACAATATCGATTATTCCATTGCCGTTTGTTCGAGGAAGAAAAATTTGCCTTATTTATAGAATAAGCCAATAGATAGATAAGCAGACAGATGAAAATGACATAGAAAAAGAAAAAGCAAATAATGCGCTCGAGGTGGAGAATGTTAGCTAGAAGGAGAAGGGAAGAGAAGTTTATCGCGTATCGAGAATTCCCTAGAGAGAAAATAAAGTACACATAGCAGAAGAAAATATTAAAAAAAAATATATAAGAATAAAAATGTATTGCACGGAATAGTTAGAACGAAATCGACTGAAATATCGTGAATGCGAGCGCAATGAAAGAAAACACAGTGGAGTTACGCGTGCCAAGTGAGAAGGAAAATAAATAAATTTGAAAAAGCAGAGGAAGCGAATAAGCTAAATTATTAGCCACAGTATATTCGCTTCTTGATCTCCGGAAGATTTACGTTAGCACGTTTCCCACATAGAGTTCTCTCGAGAAAAATGTCGATACTTCCTCTCCTTTCTCAGATCGCGCGCTGCTCGCAGATTCGCACAATTCAACCTCGAATCGTCGATTGCGACCGAGTCGCTGCTTTTAACTGAATTGTATCTTCGTTTTTCGACTGTCGGACAAAGCGTCGTTGGGTCTTGGCTTTCAAGTCAGTGCCTCAAGCGAAAAGAAAAAGAAAGAAATAACAGCAGAGAGAAAGAGAGTGAGGGACAGACTGTTGGCGTTTTACCGGGAAAGGTGAACGACACTGCCTGCTGCGAGGTGGAGACTTGTATTTCGTACAACCACCGGTTTGACGTTGAAAGACCGGCGCCGCAGATTTGTGGGTCAACCGGTAGACAAGAAGAGAGGAGGAAGGACGTTTGTTTCTGTTGTAGTCGCGACCATGTACGAAAAATTTAAATCCCACACCACAGTGGGCACTGAAGTAGGGGAAATTTTCCAGTGTCGTTCACCTTGTTTTCGAAAATAAGGAATCATTATCCTTGAAAAACGCAGAGAGAGAGAGGGAGAGAAATAACCGCGAAAAATTGTCCATCTGACCGCGGAATATCGAATATATTTAAATGCTTGATCGCGACTATATATTTAGAGGATTTAAATATGCATATAATATATCGTGTGATCGTTCAAACATGGAAAATATTCAAATGTACACGAGTATTGCAGCGGCCGCTCTTTCTCACCTGCCATTTTTTCAATGACGACAGGGACTGTCGCGATGCGAGCAGGGTATAAGTGGAAATGGCAAAAACGCCGAAATTCTCGAGTCCTCCGACTCCGACCGCTTCTCTTTCTCGCGCCAACATACCTCGCAGTTGCGTGGAAGAATGCTCGCCGTCGGCCGACAGTGAAGATCTCGCCTGTTCTTATCTCGTACGCGAGTGTCGTTCGCACGTTGCCGATCACGCCGGTCAATCCCGCGTTCTCGCGCGCGCCGAATTGAGGTGGCCATAGCTCTTTTTCGAACCCTATCGACCCGCCATGTTGACTTTTAGTTCGCCCTGGCGCGACTTCCTTCAGATGGCGGTGTTGCGAGCGCGTGAAAGTCCTCGTGAGAGGGGAGGTTCCGGTTAACGAGCTAGCCGAGCACAATCATCCTTCCGGCGGAGGATAAGAGCACGTCAAATCGCGGAGGAGGAAACCGCGAGTTGCCGTGAGCTGGCACTCTCGAGACGCACTTCGCGCAGTGAATATGGACTCTTCCAAGTCCGGTGAGTATCACGTTCGTACTTGTCGCTGCACCTTGCCGAAATGCACCGTACGAAACCATGTGTAACGGCCATAGACATAATATATCTAGATCGAGCCGTTTGCCTTTATTTGAGATGATGCGTTCTCTTTCATTCGCGCATGCACACTAGGATTCATAAATGCCTTTATACTTCCGATATCTAGAGAATTGGACTTTTTCGATTTGGCGCATCGTTTCTCAGTAAGCGCGAATCGTGATTGTTAGTTACTGAAAGAACCGACAACTAACTAACAATCACGATTTAGGCTTACTGAGAAACGATGCGCCAGATCGAAAAAAATCCAATTCTCTAGATACCGGAAGTGTAAAGGCATTAATGAATCCCAGACGGAAAAGAAGATTCGGTTGAATTAATCAAATATCTGGTTGAATATGAACGATCCAGAAATTTCGATTGAAGTAACTCGAATTCTGTTCAAGTCAACCAAAAATCTTGTTAACTTAAACAGAATTCGGGTTACTTCAATCGGAATTTCTGGATCGTTCATATTCGACCAGATATTCGGTTAATTCAACCAAACCTTTTTTTCCGTGTAGTATATGCTCACATACGTGCAAATGAGAGAGAACGCACCATCTCAAATAAAGGCAAACACTCGGTCTAGATATGTTATGTCTATGGTAACGGCAGTGCGTGTATGTGCGTTAGTTTACACTGTTATGCGCGCGCGCGTACGTATGTGTGTTAACATTTGTCAATATATCCGAAATATTAAACGTACATCAAGTAGAGTAACAATGGCTACGTTCAGTAGAGAAAACAGCTTTGCAATTGTTGCAAAATTTATAAATCTGGTATATGCTCGTGGATTCAACCGAGATTAAGAGTATACGTCAGTCGGATTCACGAATTTTACCGTTGCAAAGCAGACGATAACAGCGCGAATCGATGCGTCATCCGATTATCCGCAAAAATGTGATTCATTTTCGTCAATTCGCAGTTAGCAGATATCAACAAATATAAAGTGCGAGCTCCAATCGCGCGCATTATTTCCTTCAGCTTCTTCTCCGTTTTATGCTCGAGTACAAATAATTGATTTCGATTTTGCATACGTAAAAGGATTTTAGCGTAACACGGCGTAACACGGGAGGAAAAATCCCGAGTCGTAATTACGTCGACAAATTATTCGTCGCGAGTTTCAGAACGGTAGACTTGTAACGAGATTGACAAGATCACACACCGTGACGCAATGTAGAGGCGTATACACGCGATAAGCGCGATAATGCATATGCATTTTTATATGCGCTTCGTTAAACTAACATTAAACTGACTACATGTGTTTATTATTCCGCAGATCCGTTCACATATATTAAAATTAATTCCATGGAGAAAATAATTAATGAGTGTGAACAAAGCAAGCAAGCAGTCGAAAAGCAGCGAAATGAAAAGAAACTTAACGAGAAAACTGACGAGAAAACTGACGAGAAAACTGACAAAGAAACTAACAAGAAAACTGGTAAATGTATCAACGTATTTAATTAATACATTAGTAATATTTAAACAATAATCATCTAAATGCACACTACGTTGACATATTTTTCTATCATGTAACAATTAGACAAATATAAGTGAAATAAAGAGCACTGCAATCTCGTTCCACGAGAAAGTAAGTTTTTAGAATTTTATCAAATATTAAGGTACACGAGGATTTATTAATTATTTATCAATTATTATTTATTGGTTTTTTTTTATACGTATACTTAATATTTGATAATATGCGTACAATAGTGCCGACTACTGGACATTTTCTTTTACACTCAGCAAACTCTTTGCGATTGAGCAATTGGTCCTTGAAAAAAACGAATCGAACTTACGCTCGTTTCTACGAAACGTCAATTGAACCTTAATTTGAGTTTAAATTTAGACAGAGACTTAAAGTCAAGTTAAGATTTACTCGACGTTGGTACAGAAACGTGTGTTAATAGATCTCGAAGTAACGACAGACAAATGAAAATGAGGTAAATTTCATTCCAATCTACTGCACAAGAAAGTACTTTTCAATTTATTAAAACACAAATGTCGCATTACCGTCATCACTGCGAATATACTGCCCATTTTGGTTGAACATCTCTTTTGCCTCTAATTTTTTGTTTTGTTTTTAATGAGACTTCCATAGTTGCTGCGCGACCATGGAAAATTATGTGCGTGGATACGATTTTCGTATGCGTCGCATCTATCATGTTAGTACGTGCGGCGTGGTTGTTTTCCGTATATTTTCCTTCTGGTTGCTTTACATCGACCCCGCTTTCTTCCTCTAAACATCAAGATTCATCATTCAACATGGGCCCTTCTTAAGAAGATTCCTTGTTGGGTATGCAACAGGTTTTAATGAGTAATGGGACATTACGTCTGAAGATCATCCTCTCATCGCGTTTGCGCGTCTGAACCCGACGCGTTATTACGTCACATTTGCTTCTTTACATATGCGCGGCGGCGTTTCTGGCTTCGCATATCACAAAACAATTTATACGCGACGTCACAGCTTCGATGGCTTCTCCAAGTGTCACTGTCAACGCGGGAGACGCTGTGCTTATGATGAATCGCCTGTGTGCACACGTACACACGTACATACGAACATGCGTTCAGAGTGTGTGTATGTGTGTACGCGCGCGGTAACATCGATGCAAGCAATTGAGTTGAACAAAGCTGAAGAAAGCTAGTGAAAAATATGGAATACATTCCATCCACGCATAGTTCTCGAGAGAGACGTGATCGTGAATGCGAATGTGATATGTGTATGCGCGCGTGTATTCCGCCTGTTCGTCTTACCAAAGAAAAAGCGATTCTTCACGATTGTTTACTGTAGTTCAAACGTTATCGCCGATAGCCAGATTTTCCTCTAAGTCCTTGTCCACAATCTTGCTTTAAGACGTAAACCGTAAGAAATTGATCAACTACAGCCGATTCTTCTTCTAAAAATCGACCATGATTGGTCAATTTCTTACGATTTAAGTCTTAAAGCAAAGTTGTGGACAAGGACTAACGCGCGTATTAGTATTCACGGTCGCTGTGATATCTCGTCGTCTCGAAAGATCAATGATCCAAAAAAATTCGTTCTTTTTAGCTACACACAATGAAAATGTACAATCAAATGATTAAATATAGCAATACTTTTCCTCTATAAGCTTCTCAACGTGCCCAATAAGTCCCGTACCTAATAATTTTTTTTTTTAATAATTCTTAACTGATACAATTTCTTCCTTCCGGATACAGGAATGGGTTGCAAAACTCGTCGAGGAGAAGTGTTGCGACCTTGACAATCGAGAATAACGTAATTTATCGAAAGTATGAGAACGCGTGCGATTTTTATTAATATTAAAAATTATTTAAAGTTTGAGGTTCGCAAATTCGAATTTTACAGGGATTGAGAGTCCCGCACTCACACGTATTCAAGAGCTCGTGCTATCAGTACAGTGAACTGTTGTTGCATCAAATGTCACTGCACGTCGAAATAGCTACGTTTGACGTCATTTCTGTTAAAAAGAACTCTTTGGCGCACGCTTCTTGTGCTAGACAGCGACAGACAGTCTGGCTAAAAAGAACGAGCCTGGCGTTATCAGTGTCTGCTGTCGGTAGGACAATGTCGATGCTCGGTATCGCAATTAATTCGCATAACATTATCACATAGACAAAATTCTGAAGCCGTTGGTATAATGAGCGTTCTATTGACCGACAGACGCACGCACGAGTGTCGATCGACGCGGTTGCGGCGCGAGACGCGCGCTACTTTCGCATTCAACGTCATTTTTCCTCGTGAAGCCTACGCAATCGAACTATCTAAAGAAACAGTTATCTCACGTCTTCCTCGCTCATACTTCCGCGAAGCTCCTCTCGTCGATCTGTCGCCCGATTTGCCGCGAATGATCACTGCGGCTGTCGCATTGAAAGCTTGCTAAGCTCGCGATGTGAGGATAATTACGGCAAAAGCGATCGATCGGTCTTTCTTTTACGGAGAATCTCTTGTAAGATCTATACGACTTGTACGACACACGACACATAAAATATCAGATGATCACAGAAACGGTTCATTCCATGAAATCCCCAAGGGAAGAACGCGTGACGATGATCTCTCGCTCAAGACGCACGCATTTGACGCAATTACCGTGATCAATCGCTTTTACCGTGACGGATTCGACGCGGCTTCGTCAGTCGCTCGCACTTGCGCGTTCCCGAGTATCCCGTTTCGCTTACGGACAGTCCATTAACCGTGTATACACTTCGCAGATTCCAACGAAGACGTCGGAAGCAACTGGATGGAGACGTCGATGAAGCAGATCGTTCAAAGAGAGATCGTTCAACGAGTGGCTAGCCTTACCGGTCAGAGCGTTGACGAAATAGAGGTTACCGATGTTCTACGTGATCATTAGCGAAACCTCTACATCCACGTGTTTATCGCTCACAGAGTGCTCCTTCCAAGTTCGAATCATTCAGCAGTCCCACATGCAGGTGCAAGGACGGGATGACATCGTCTACAACTTCCTCATCGATGGTGACGGTCGCGCCTACGTCGGTAGGGATTGGGACAACGTCGGCGGATACACATCGGCTACGACGTCAGCTGTATCGGCGTTTCCTTCATCGGCGCATTCGACAAGATTCTGCCGTCGGTAGCGCAGTTGACCGCGCTGTGGACCTTGATTGAGAACGGCGTCGAGGCCGGCAAGCTTTCGCCCGATTACAAATTATTAACAGACATTAGGAATGACAACAGCACAACTTCGAACCCCGAAAATAGACTGTACCGCGTTATCAAGTTGTTACCACATTGGTCGCCCTATCCTTAACAGTGCGGACACATTGGTACACGAGGAGTCGCGAGATGTGAGAGCGCGCGCGCGATGACGTTTTGCATCGCGTTCGGATTCCGATAATTTTCAGATATCGATTTACACTTAACTAAACTGCACCTCTCGTTTTCTCCTGCTCAGAATACCGTTGGAATTATGAGGTTATCTTCGCATTATCTCGCCGGCACTTGACGCGATACCACACGAGAGAGTCACGTTGCGCCTTGATAAAACGTTTCTCGCGATGTCGCGCCTCTCTCGATCGCGCAACATTAATTAAACTGTTATGTCGATGGCAATCGCATGGTGCGCGAGTAAAAAGGTGCCACATGTTAATGAGAATGCTCTGCGTATACAATTATTGCGCGAGGGTGCAAAAATGTGTGTCCTTCTATGAGATTTCCGCAATTACCACAACGCGTTTCTCAATAGCGATCCATCAATCAATAACGCGTACGGTAACGTGTCGCTCGCTATTGCCAGAAACAAATAGCTCGTATGTTTATCGGCGAGCGCAGCTTCCACATGTACGCGGCACAGTTGCTTAAGTAAGGAATGACAGACTCGCTGCCAATTATTCGATGGCTTCAAGGATACTACGTTTGAGCTGTGCCTGCACTCGCGAAGAAGCACAATGGAAATGCTTTCTGAGTGGAACGAATGATAATTCTTTATCAGCAGAGGGGTGGTACCACCCTTCGTATACGGTGTGCTCTTACGTGATATTTTATGGTACACTGAAAAGAAATACTTGAAAATTTATTTATGGAATGTAAAGTTTGTTTCTGCGAAACAAAGTTTATTTCTGTAAAATAAAGTTTACTTCTGTAAATAGACTTTGTGTTGTAGCATGAATAAATTTTCAAGTATTTATCTCTCAGTGTAGTAGGATCGCGAGAACTCATTTGTAAACATTAAATCGCTATTCGCAGAATGAAGAGACGATGAGTGAAGATTACGAGTGGCTTACTCGAAACATTCACATCAAAGCAGTAACCGATGAATGGTCTCGGAGTGATTTCGCACAAGCATGCGTAATGGCATGAAATTTTGGCACCCTTCGCTCTCGGTGCGTCATATAAGCTCTCTCTCTCTCTCTCTCTCTCTCTCTCTCTCTCTCT